TTATAAGCCTCTGATGTCTTTAATTAATCTCCGTCTTCCTGTTCAACGAACATCATTTTGCTGATTTCCTTCATCTGAAAACGATCCTGCCAGGGGCGGATCTAGAGGAATATTCATAGGCTGGCAAGAGGGTGGCAAGGAGACTTTAAAGGATGGCAGAAAGATTCAATTGCAAACAATGTCAATATTTGCTTGGAAAAAACCCCCAAATGAAGATATTTGAACAGAAAAACATTACATTATTGTGGCACATTAGGAAAGCATTTCAGATTAATATCCACTGATGGTGTTAGAAATCAGTAAATTACAAATCTTCTGTCTTTTTTCATTGAACTTACATTTTTCATTTAATCTAAAATATCTAAAATATACGGAAATTGTTCTTTTTTTTTTACACTTTTTTTTTTAATGAATTTAAATTAATGAGTTAAATTTGACAACATTTGACAGCAAACTGGGGTGCCATGCCACCCCATGCCACCCCTTCTGGATCCGCTCCTGAATCTGCAGATATTTGCTGCACTTCTTCTCCACATCTCCATTGTTCTGCCGTGCCGTTTGTTTCATGGAAAGCTCAGCACTGCAGATAAAAACACAAGATTAATGAGACAAATACGATACAAACACATTCACGATCAAAAAGAGGAATGCATGTGACCTTATGAAGTGCATTTGACCCCCGCTCGAAGTTGTTCTGATTCATGTTGCAGCATCTCAAAGACAATTTATCATCACAAACCCTCGCAGAAAAACATGATTTATTATTTCTTCACAAATTAAATTTATGAAATTAAAAAGAAAACATCCACTTGATGCTGAAATGTATTATCGTGTCTGTTAAAGAGTAAAAAAGATGCCCGACATTAAAGGGCCTCAGTCACAGAACCGTATCAGTTCTGAACAGATGGAGCAACACGTCTTCAGTTGATGAAAGGATGAGAGTGAGCAGAAGGTTCGGGGTTCAGATCCTCAGCACAGCAACCACAATCATTCAGTTACGAGAGGCGGAGGAAGAGTGGAGTCTCGTCAGGTTTCTTGTTGTATTTTCATCACAAAGTGTGTGTTATTTAATGAGCTGGAGGTCTGAATGCACAGTGTCACCTAAGAACCAGACTTCAATGGAAATTTGTGCTAATTTGAATGAAAATAAATTTACATTTTCTCATCAATCGTGTTAAAAACTGTACACCTTGTTGACTAAATCTAGGTTTTATTTGACAGGAAAGTCAGTGAAACCCTAAACAAAACCTCATTAACCACAAAAATAATGCAAGTTAACATCAATTCAAATCTTCCAAAGACAAAAATATAAATATATTTTTTCTAATAGAGGTTTCACTTCTTTTGTGGTGCATCTGAACTGGAGTTAATGGTTAATGAACACACTGAACCTCAACGATGCACCAGTGAACGCGCTCTGCATACAGGGAAGAAAAGAGCAATGCACACAACAAACAAACAAACAGAGAACAACAAGACAATAAATCTGTTTATATTCTGAGATCTGAAACATTTGCTACGCACCGTTCCCTTTTTTTGGATCCTGGTTCTCATTCACGGGAGTGTTTTACATGCTGGTCAGCAGCTGAACTGGTTCACTGAGGTTTTTTTGCTCAGTGTAGACAGTGTGTGTGTGTGTGTGTGTGTGTGTGTGTGTGTGTGTGTGTGTGTGTGTGTGTGTGCTGCCGGTTTAAAGACACAATCTGAGATCCAAATGTAAACAAAACAACAATCCGTAAGCAACATTCAGAGTGTAAGACAGGAAGCTGCAGTCACGCCCAGATTTGATTGACAGGTCTTTTAGTAGAGAGACCCTAATGAAGTTATTATCTAAGTTATTAATCTGTTTTAATTCTGTTAAAATGTTTGTTCACATCTGTAACTTCTGTTTTTTTTATTATATAATTCAAAATCCTCTACATGAATGTGAATACACGTGTTATGTTTATGGCCGTTAATAAGAGATTGGGCCTTTAAGATATCTCCCATGGAGGGTGGCCAAAATAACCGGAACACCTGCCAATCTAATGCAACCAAATACAACAGCTCTTTATTAAATACTGTAATGAAGCTTGTAGTGCTGATGAGGCCTGTACTTTGTGTTGCTGCTGGTTTGGATTTCATTATATCACCAGGTGCTTACAGTAAAAACTCTAATAACTCACTGCACTTTTTTACTTCCATTTTATAATAATAACACTTCATTCAATTCACAATAAGAAAGTAGAATTCGCACAAGCAGTTTACTGTATATTGTGTCAGATGTGCATGGAAGACTTCAGTGTCTGTGATGGTGGCTATCATGTCTGCAGGACTGGTTACAGAATGTTACACCGTCTACTAAATATCAGCCTGTCAATAGGAAATGAGACGCTGGTGAGGAACTCATGTTGCTCCATGCTGAATTAATCCAACTGCACAATTTAAATGTTTCTAATCCCACTGGCAGCCCAAAGCTGTGTCTACACAACGCAGTGTGTTTAACTGAAACTGCAAATCACCTGTTGATCAGCCATGTGTATGTCTAACACCTGCACAGTAATAGTTTAAATGTAGTGGTTGGGATCACAGCAATAGTTTGGGCTGCAAGAAATGAACATTGTCATTATAGATGAACTGGTCAGTTATGTTCTTGATTAATTGTTTAGCCTATAAAATATCACAAGACAATGCAACACTTCTCAGAGCCCAATGTGAGGTCTTCAAATGTTTGTCTGACAGTCCAGAAATATAAGATATTAAGTTTACTGACATATGTGGAAAAGAAAGTAGCTCCAGTTTGGGTTTTCCGCTTGAAATCAATAACTCACTTATCAAAGTAGTTGCTGATTCATTTTCTGTGTATTGACCAATCGATTAAATCATTAATGGTCTCAGCTAAAGTCAGAGTTGCAGTCAGAGATGTGATTACAAGCAGTGGTGGAAAGTATGAAGGTCTGCACTGCATTTACTTCACAACACAGTTGATGTAGTTTCACTTAGACTTCTACTAGAAATCTGTAGTTGCTTTGCAGATTGGGATTTTTCATGCAAAATTTATAATAATTTGACAAAATATGATGCATTGTTAAGATTAAACTCCCCAGCAGCAGTTCAAATCAGCTTCACCTGTGTGAGCTACAGCATAAAAATGATCAGTAATTACAAAGACGGGGATGTTGTAACAATTTATGTACAGAAATTTAGAATTTTAATTACAAAAATGCCAAACCTTTACTTGCAATACAATGTTGTTGTTTTTTTATATTTCTCCTTTCTTCCACCTCTGGTCACAAATCTGCTCATTACAGTTTTAAATACGGACGTAATACAATTTAACTTTTAGTTATATGCGTGTAGTTGTAGTCTCAATTGAGCTACAGTTGTAGTTTTAGTTCTATCTGTAATTAAAGTTATTAACAAAGTGATTAAAGTGCCTGCAGTCTGTGTTATGTCCTAAAAGCATCATTCTAATTACAGTTATAGACCTGCGTGCATAAATCTCTCATTCTGCATTCTCAACCGTGCGCAATATTTCAGTTACATTCCGAGAAAAACCTCTTATCTGGAAACATATGAGCTGGATTTGAAAGTCGGGCCTGTGCAGAGTAAACTGGGTACACTGGGAGGAGGAGGTGGCGGAGGGGAGGAGGGGGGAGTTTAACCGCCAAGCACTGCAGAAATGGCCTGATGGGTGCTAATGAACTTGGGATGTGCCACCACAATGCTGAGCGGCCCCTGGTCCACCTCGGTGCCCGGGTTCCCATGCAGCCGACGGAATAAGAGAGAGGGATGATGGGGGGGAGGAGGAGGAGAAGTGAGGGGGGTGAGGAGGGGAGGGGGGCGGCTGGATGGTGCACCCAGCCTATTGTGCCCGGTCCTTAGCCCATTAGCCACCACCAACCACTCCGCTTTCCCAAGAGGAGCTCGAGGCCTGCCTGCCTGCCTGCCTGCCTGGACTCGGTAACCAGGCATCGGCGAGGGCGAGAGGAGGGGAGGAGAGAAACAGTAGCCGTATTTAGAGTTTGATCTCCAGGAAAGCGTCCAAAATTTGGAGAGAAAGAAAAGGGGAGCCCGGGACATTGGTAGGCAGAGAGAACCCCCCGACAACAAACCGGGGGCTGACAAAGTTGTCTCTTTGGCAGTCGCGCCTCCTATTGAACCAGTAATTTATTCAAAGGAGATTTTTATCCCCGCGATCTGATTATTATGATAATCAAGTGACCCAGACCCCCTTTCTTGGCTCTTGTCTGCGGGCTCTGGGCTCGGCGGTGACAGTAAAAGCTGATTTGCACGGTCTTCACCCCCTGGTCACATTCCTGGACTCCTCTGTATCAAAGACGCAGACAATGAGAATAGTGGATGTGCGCACTTGATCCAGGCGCATGAGCGCAGGCCGCAGTCTCCGCCGGGGGCTTTGTGTCAAACGAATACTAGTAGCCAGACAAGATTACACGAAACTTTTTTATAATCCCACATGGGCCCAAACGGGGCTCAAAACGACACACTTGATAAGTGAAACTCCCGAACAGACCCACAATAGAGGCAGCACGGAGGATGCTGCATGTGCGGAGGCGCTTATGGTGCCTATTTATGCGTAATTAGGGAATTAATTATGAATCTGGGCTTCAGATTTTACGCTGTCTGAGAGTGGATGCCAATATTTTCATAATTCGGGTTGGTTTAGTATGAAATATAACATAAAATCAAGAAATCCAACATGAATTCAGATGATTATTTTCCAGGATTCTGATCCATAAAGAACTTGGGCATCCATGCTTATTCACGACCACGTCTGCTTTCATATCTTAGAGGGTGGAGACAAAAACAGACCTGCATCGTGTCATAAAGGGGAGGGCCTTGGTGGCGGTATATGTTTTTAGAGCAGGCATGTTTTAAGTTCATATTGCATCCGACGCTTGGAATGGCGAGTGCGAGGGACGGCGCGGGCAGGAGGGGGGGAGGCGAGATCCACCTCCGCGGGAAATAATGGGGATGATAATAAAAACAGGGGGAAAACCCGTCCGAGGGAAGCTGAATGGATGGAGCCAGAGAGACGTCACGGCCAGCCGCAGCCATGAAGACTGAGCGGTCCAGCCTCCGGCAGCTCACTTGGTCTCCATCTCCCGAGCTGCTCGCTTCTCGGTTTTGGAGCGCGGACGCCGCAGCGACTCGCAGACGACGGCGTGAGTATGAAGTATAAGCTGTGTTTTCTTTCCAGGGGCTGGGGTGGGGGGGGGATGCGAAGGCAGGTGCGGAATATCGGCTATAGAAAAACGGAGGAGAACGCGTTTGCATCCGCGCCGCGTCCGTCGCCAACCTGCACACACAACGGAGCAGTGCACGGTCTGGATGTGGCGGCAGCAGGCGAACATGGGCGATGTGTGTTTGAGCAGCAGGTCTTCAGCTCTAAATTTGACACATTTTCTTATTTTTGTCTCTTTTTCTGTCTTGATACTCTGAGGAGTGCAAAGTAGGAGAGGATATTTCAGTCAGAATGGCAGCTGTTGGGAGCGAATAGCAGGTGGAAACATTGCTCAGCACAAAATATGCACATTTTGTCTTTTATTTAATGTTCTGTTTTCAAACTGCATCAAAGGCTCCAGAGATAGATCATACGAATTCATTCATTTCTTGCATTGAGTGTGGAATGGTGTCCAGGCCCAGTGAAAGGTCACAGATGGACCGAGCCTGCACTCTCTGGTTAAATGATGAAATATATCAGTGAAAGAGCAACTTGTAATTAGACGTGGTTTGGCGCTGCTTTGAGGGAGAACTCCCCCTGTTTCACAGCCTCAATGACGCATTGTGTACAGGCTTCATATGCGCCATTCACAGGGAGCCACAAAGGCCAAAAGGCGCTTCCAGCCCTCATTTCATTTCTCATACACACCTCCAGGCGCTTAGCAGGGTCACTTTTCCAGCTCTGCTCGCCGTGGCAGCGGGAGCGGCAACATATGGCACCAAAAACCAACCCAATATGACACGATCAGGGTCTGGGGACAAAAAGACGGGACCTTTTTTTTCTCTTGTCTTTCTTTTTTTTCTCCCAAATTAAGCCCTTGCAGGACTCTGTGTGGCCATGTGGCTCAGATATGAGGATTACCAGCAGACAGGCCCGCAATGCATGCGTAATAAGACAAAGTGGTGTCGTTCACACCCATAGCTGGCGGATAAAGCGATCACAAGGCCAAATATCCAGTCCACACGTGTGCGCCGAGTACGAGGCCTGTGCCGAGAACACGTGTGCACCCCCCGGACACACCGGGGGAGAGAGCTGTGCCTTTGGAGCTTTGAGATGGCTTTAAGGCAGAAAAAAAAACTGGGATTATGCAACGTTTCACATGATGAACATTAGAGTATTAATGTGTATGCAGGCAGGGGTCAATGCAGTGGCAGAGATTGGCTCTGGAAAAGGAACAAAAAAATGTTTATCTTAAAACTGGAAATTTGGTATTTGATTAGATTTTTTAAATTTAGGTGAATTTTGTGTGTTTTATTTGTTCATTTATTGAACTAGTTGCACCACAGTACACTCACACCCTCACACAAACACTCACATACGGAGGCAAAGTTGTGTGTGCCACTGCAGTGTATTTTAGAGTAATTATTTTGCGACAGCCAATGACCATATTCCTTTATGTTCAAACATAAAGGCGCCACGTTGTGCGTTATGTTATTGTGACAACAGCAGAAATGTGCAGAGAATACATCACAGGGTCCACACGACTGAAGTCTGCACCTTTTCACGCCCACCATCACCGTCTTTAAAAAAAAAAAACATTTTTCATTATGGGAGCAAAATGCAGTTCTCTGATTGTCTTTACTGTTTGATGGAAGGCTGGGGTATGTACAATGGGGCAGTTCGGCTCCTCCGTGCTGTATAGTCCATTTGAAGAATAAAATGATCGTCTCTTTTTTCCAGGGATCCCTGGAGAGACATTCAGCGGCCTCACAACACGTGGCTTACTGTAGGTAATATTTGCTACCAGCTCTCACTGTCACATCACCCACAGGCTTCCGTAGTCAGGTTGGATATTATAGGAAGTTTTAGGGAATGATATATTTTATATTTGAAGAAATAATGGGATATATGGTAGTTTATAGTCAAAGCTGTATTAAGTTATACATTTATAGTTTTAAGGCAGATTAGAATTGATCATATGTAACAGGATGGTTTCTAAAGCGCAAATATGAGTTAAAGATTTAAACACAGATATTATAAAATCAGCCACAGCTCAACAAAACGCCATGCCAAAAAAATTATGACATTCTTTTGAAAAATTCATACAATATCAGGAATGTTCAGCAGCTTTAGTTTCATTACATACAGAACGTGTGGAGAATTAATTAAGTGATTTCTACAAATCGTCATTTTCAGCTGTTCAGCTCCACACACTACAGTGTGACTGTGACACTGTGTGTGTGTGTTCATCAGACACAAACCCACTGTGTGTCTGCCAACAGGCCCACACAGTCACCTCAGCATGCCACCTCCATTCTGGTAATTTCACAAAAACACATCCACCTTTAAATATCGCCATGACGTGTGTGTGAAATACTTTATATCGTGCGTAAAAGTCGTGCGTAATTACCTTTGTTGCCTCTAAACGCAGCTTTCAATCTGAGAATTCAACCTGTTTCATAAATTGTGTAAAACGAAATGATTTTAGCACGTGCTTTTAATCAGAGGATAGCCAACGAGGCTTTATAATAGGAATCAATTTCTTTCTAATCAGCTCTGCACTTTCGCATAAATTATTTCCAATTAGAGGCGCCGGATTTGTTGACGTCACGCACGCCTCGTCCAATGGCACAGCCTGATGAGGTTTGTTTAAATAGTGGAGAGAAACAACCTGGAGCTCGACTGATGCCTTTTATGTTTTGGGGGATTTTATCTGAGCTCAGGTGAGTCAAAGAAAAGAGGCCGCCGTCAGTGTGCCACTGTGAGGGTCTTTCACTTTAAACTTTTGCAGAAGAGAGACACTTTAAAATCTCCACAAGCTTAATTTTCTGAACTCACAAGTGATTAATTTCGCGGGTGAAATGCATCGTGAAAGGCGAACATTGTGGGGATAAAAACCCACAGGACAAATATTGAAATTGTATCAATTTATTAGAATTATATAACAGCGGCACAGTCACGAATAAGCCAGTGTTAATGAAGGGACAATTAATGATAATGGGGGAATAAGTGCAATCTGCATATAATTATCTTCCTCTTTATCCAGCTTGGAACTCGTGAAAATATTTCTGATCTAAAAACGAGTCATAAAGCTCACAGCACAGTCTGCAGCGATTAAAAATCCTAATGTTAATATCGCATCATTCCAGTGCAAAATAACATGTGATGAACTACAGATGAGTTCAAACACCAAAGTCAATTAAATGTTTTTTAAACAGGCAATAAAACTTTTTAAAGATAAAATAAATTGGAATTTTCAGAATGTTGCAGGTTATTATTGTACCTTAAATATTGTAAAATATGATGATATCAAATAATACTGATTATGTAATTAGGATATTTTTTATTAGAACAATAATAATGTGTCTTTTAATATTAATATGAATTATCTGATAGTCAGTCTGACTGAGCTATTTATGAAGTACACATGTTCTTTACATTTGTGACAGCAGCTGTCAGTGTGTGTGTGTGTGTGTGTGTGTGTGTGTGTGTGTGTGTGTGTGTGTGTGTGTGTGTGTTTGTGCATTGATACGTAAGTCTGGGTCAATATCTGATATTGTCTGTAATGATCTATCTTAACATGAAAGAACTGTGTGTGTGTGTGTGTGTGTGTGTGTGTGTGTGTGTGTGTGTGATCCAGTGCAGTAGCATTCTGAGAGCTGAGGCATGTTTCTGCTCTTAAAAGGGCCTCGCTTTGTCCTTGTGGATTGAAACAAAGCACCTTGACGAAGATCCGTGTTGTGGTGACAGCCCTCTGAACGGCAGAAAAACACCTTTTTAAAAACCGGCACAGATTCAGACAGAATAGAAGGAGACGACCAGCAGCTGTTTATTGTAACCTGGAGGGAGAACAATGCCGGTGGGATTTGTTGTTTGCTAACAGGGGATGTAGCCGTCTCTGCTAACATGTTGCCAGTCAAGTCGTGTTCAGGTTTGGGTGTGTGTGTGTGTGATGGAGGCCGAGAATATTCTGCGCCTCGCCCTCCTCTGTCACTCTCTCTTTCTCTCATTCTCTCTCAATATCTCTCCATCTCTCTCTGCTTTCAGGCAGTAGAGCTTTACTTGGTGGTGGCGTTGGTGGGGGAGGAGCCTGCCACAACAGGGATCTGGGCACACAGAGCAGCTTTAATTAGAAGGGGCCTTGTGCCATGTGCCACCACGGCATGTGAGAAGAGTGTGTGTGTGTGTGTGCGCGTGTTACAGCATTGTCTATACCCGTACAAGTGTTTTGTGTGTGTTTAGCTTTATTTTTGCATGTTTTTGTGGACATACAGTATTTGTATGTCTACTGGGTGTGCTGTGGATGTATTTGTATTACATTACTGTTAGTGTATATGCATGCATGGACATTTTTTTTGTGTGTGTATGTACATCTTAAACCCCTCCATCTTCGCTTTGACGCCAACCTTGAGCGCCGGCCGACTGCTTTGGCATCAGATAATGTAAATGAAGACAAACCAGTTTCTTTTGTAGTCAAACAGCCAGGATCTTTTAATTTAAAAATGCATTTGGGCCGTGGTGGGGGGCGGCGTTTGAAGCCATCACCCTCCTATGGAGCCAGTCAGCGGGTAAGACCGATGCGCCATAGGGATGGGCGCTGGGCCGGAGAAGGCAAGGTTGGTGCGATAGCTGGTTTGGACTGGTTCGACAACTTGCGTACATTTTTTTTATTGGTGCCTCTCACTGATTGTTTGACTTTGGGGAGTTTTTGATATAGAGGCATTACCCGCAGGCCAATCAAAGCATTCTGGGCACAATGGGAGGTTTTTAATTGGCCGAGGCAGTTTGAGGTGGGGTGAGGGGCCTCTTGGTGACGTCACAAAATGAAGGGTCAGGACATTTAAGGGCCGCTGTAGGTTCAGTGAGGAAAAAAGGCCCCAAGCAAGAAGAGTAACGTCTTTGTTCGGAGTTGGTGTTAACTGCTGTTGGATCTTTACGGATTTCCAGACAAATTTTTGATAGAAATTTGAATTCCTTCCAAAGTTAGTCTGTTATCATTTCAATTATTTAAATAAAGAAACATATAAAAATGTTTTTATTAATAACTTTCTCCTTTGCTTATAGGTCAGAACTTGGCCCATGTCACTTCGCCTGCGGCTTGAGAGGATGGGTAGCCTTAGGGGTTGGTTGTTATCTTTGGTTATCTAGCTGTATGAGTGATGTACATTCTTCATAAAGCTAGATAACCGAAAGTAACAAGAATCCCATTACGCTCCTGAAAAGGCATCAAGACCCCAAACGTGCCTCCCTCCAAAAAAAATAAACACAAACTCTGCCACAAGAACTGCAACAAGAGAGAAGAAAATGGACGACATTCAAAAGGAGATGGGAGCAGAATGCAGCAAAAGGTATGGTGCACGATTATATGTGTGTGAGTGACAAAGTTTCAGACCACAAGGCTTTAAGATCAACTTTACTGTAAAGCTCTGTATATATTTTCTGTTTCGATCCATCAACATTTAGAAAGAATACCTTTGGTAGGCACGTAGAAATAAATGGGACATTGCCGCACATATTCCCTACAGCTCCCTGCAGCCAGTGGCAGTGATCCATAGCAGTACGGTTGGTGCAACAGGATCACTTTTAATCTAATAAGCCCCATGATCCTTGTGTGTGGGGCTGCATGCAGGGGCTTAGCCATAGTATCACATGGCCGAGAGTGACGGGCTTGCTGAAAAAGACCCACACTGATTCACCAAAGCTGATGGACAAGTCTTTTAACAAGTCGCTGTTAAGCTAATCAGTTTGCTAGCCAGTGTGGTCAATGCTCTATTCATTTGGCTCCATGAATTTCAGCTTTGCTTCTTGCATCTTTGGCATCAAGAGAACATGCAATATGTAAAGAATGTGGGCCTTTTATATCATAGGAGCTGCATACGGTGCTATGAATTATACATATGTTCTGACTTGGATGGGATTGTGTGAGTTAAGAATGCTCCCTCCAAGTTAATCCGGGCTCCCAACTCCCCGCCGGCACCTAAGCGAACAGACAAGAATTTGTTTGAGGCCAATTTTGTTAAGTTAGCCGTTGTTGATTTTTTTTTCTCCTTCCCACCTACTCCTTTCACCCTTTTGCATGAAAAGATGTTTGATTTGGGGTCCTGGTCGTTGTTTGATTTGACGTGACAGTTGGCTTGGTTGTGAATGGGCCGTGGCAAAGCCTCCATTGCATGAGGTGCTACCATGTGGAAAGGCCTGATGGGATCTTGCTGAATGCTGCTGCTGTGTGCGCACAAGGCTCAGGGGGGGAGTGGTGCAGGGGCAATCAAGCAGAAAGTGCCCCCAGTGACGAGATCCATGAGCGAGAGAAGGAGAACAATCTGAGCCTGAAGGTTCTTTGCCCAGGCTCATGGTGAGGAGTAATTGGTCAATCAGATCTTCAACCTCAAGGCCTCTGATGGCTGATTGAAGGTGTGATTTCTTTTTCTGCCCATCAAAGCTAGAGGGTCACTCCTGCTGAGAGAGGCCGCTAAGGATTGTTTCCAAGGTCTCATGGCTTTGGAGCTACAAGGCTAGCAGTGAACTCCAATTGTAATACATATTCCACATGGCGGTTTGCTGTCTCAACATGGCTCAGCTAAAACGTCGCCCTGGAGTTTGGATATATTCAGCTTGACATGGTACAAATGCTGAACAGTTGTGCAGGGCCGAAGTGAAATACCTAAAAGCTTGCGTGGCAACCTCACCTCACAATGTCAATCTCTTCGAGCCCTGCAGTTGTGCCTGCCTGCCTGCTGCATTGCAGGTGCTGAGTGTGACATTTGAGCTCTGGGCTCAGCTAGCAAGAGAGAGGAACGAGGGTCTTGACAGGAAGTGACAGCCGGAGATGTCACCTTCTTGGATGGCAAAGTAGTACCTGGTTCCCTCTCTATTATGCTGCTTCCACCACTGCCGCTGGGTTTTTATTGTGTGCAGTGTAGACTTATGATCGTGGCATGGTTTTGATCTGTTATTGTAAATTATAGATTAATGATTGTGCCTACTTGTGCTGGTGCATTTTGCATGTACAAATTTCAGCATTTAACAGGTACAAGCCAGGCAGATTTTGAGCAGTGTAAAGATAAGTTGTCTCCTTGTGCTCCCTTTTTGTGTCAGTTACAGTGTTGAGGCTAAATGGGAACTGAAGTCTTGGACAGATTGTGTTTATACCCTAAGCATTGCCCTGGGAGACGCATGTCATGTTGCAAATGCTTTGTGCCGGCTCCGTGTGTGGCACAGTTATATCACTAACACTTCACACTGGGGACCCCAGAGTAGAGACTGTCTTAGCTTCTGCTGCCTGAAAATGGCACAGAGATGGGAGAGTTCCTAAAAATCACCTTAGGGCCTTTGCTCTCTCTCTTTTTCTGTGTCCCATGGCAGTGTCTGAAATAGAAAGAGAGCGCAAAGAGAAAGGGTGGAGAAGGAAAGAAGGCAGGGAGAGGAAAGAAGAGGAGGAGGGTGGTGGGTTTGTCTTAGCTTTCATGCACTAGGCAAGCAGATTTAGACTCCAAGTGTCAAATAGAAAAACAGCCATTGTGGTCGGGTCCTACTTGCCCCCCCACCAGTAGACTTTACAGTCAATAGAGCTAGTCCACTTGTCACTGAGGGACAATGCGCCCCTTTGCCTCCCTTTCACCCCTGCCGGGTCCGAGCAGCCAGACAGTTTTTTGAATAAGACCCAGTGATTCTTGCCCCCTTTTCTCTGCCTCTCTTTCTCTTGACGGAACACACCAACAGGGTTTGGAAAATGGCTTCGCTGTTGGGCTGGAGCAGAAGGCCAGACCCTGTTATTTTCTACAACATCGGCATTCCCTCCACCCCCATAGACTCACAGAGAAATGAATGTATCTTAGGCATTTGCAAAAGTCAATGGGCCTCCCCAGACAAAGGAGATTAAGTTTGGCAACTTAGCAGTAACAGGTGTACTTTGACTGTGCTAGGACCACACGGGGGGTGACTGCTGTTGACTGACCCGTTGCTCTGTTTGACTCCCTGTTGGTTTTGAGTTGTGAGGAGATAAAGATGAAATTTGCTTTGTGTTCTCAGACGACAAGGATGCTTCAGACCTTGTCAGCTTAGAAGTTTTAGTCGAGAGTGTGTTTGGCCTAGCTGTCTAGCACTGGCCTCTTATCATTTTTACTGCGTTTGAAAATGTAGCTCAGTTTTGCAACATTTCTTCACTGATTTGCCAAGTTTTCTCCAAAGGGATTCTGCAGATATCTTTAGATCTCGAGCTGTGCTCACCCAAGGGAGCGAGTTAAGGGTAAACAATGCGGGCACACAGAGGAAGAAAGAAATATCAGAGGGAGTGCGGCACAGCACTGGAGCATGAATACATTTTCACATTTAGAACTGAGACAGTGATGTTTTAAGAGGGGAAGTATCTTTCAAAGAGAATGAGTGAAGCCTTTTCTATCCATACCTTCAGTATTTTCAACCACAATAAATTGAGCCATTCAGCAGCAGTATAAACAGAGACACTCTCAGAGCCAGAGCAAAACAGTGCATGCATTTGTTTGTTTCAGTCGTTAATAAAGCTTTTACCGAGAGCCTCGGTCCTCAGAAAAAGCCCATTCTGGTGAAATGACTTGGCAAAGCATCCGATGGAGGGTCTGTTCAGACTGAAGCTGCTCCCGCTGCCATTGTCTAGCTCTCTCTCACACACCTACGAGTCCAGAGTAAGCACACAATTTCATTGTTGCGTGAGCTGTTAATATCAGAGGCTTCACAATAGAGCCCATTCGCCATATTTGCATAAGGCACTTTTCCAACAAGGACCCGGAGAGGGCTTGAAAGCTGGCCCACTCCAGTGCCAATGGCAAAAAAATGTCAAGTGCCAATTAGGAGAGGTTTGCCACCATTCAGCAGTACCCCACCCCTGTAGTCCTTCCCCTCCCTGCATACCCACCCCAACTCTCTCACACTCCAAGTCACCCCTGTTTTTACCACCTTATTCCAATTTCAGACGTAGCCTTCCCCTACTGACACCCAGAGACAAAAGCTGGCTCCCTCCTCTGCTGGCTAATGGAGGATCCTTTCTGCTAGGCTCAGAGTATTAGCAAAATCAGACAGCGTGCTCTGTTCACCGATTAGTCAGCTTTCTTTGTTGATTTCTTTGAATAGAAGGGTTCATGAACTATGCAGCTAAAACCTGCAAGACATAGACTCCACCTGCTGAATATTGAACTTAGCAAGCCGGCTACATTGTGCTACTTTGGTTTTAGACTCACAGGTTTGCACGGGCAGGTGTGGGTAATTGAGGGAAGGATTTTGGTCAAGACAGATGCTGATTTCAAGCAATTAAAAATAACCCCTTTCATCTGATATCCACAGTGGTCGGGCTGTGTTATTGCTAATAGCACTTAGCCACCTAATGACTTGCTTTAAGCTAGTCCTGCCTATTATTTTGCACTGATGCATGTACAAATACGGAGCATCCTATTATGAGAATAGCTGCAGTCAGAGACCATTTGAATTGAGAGCAGCACAGGCTTTGAGTCAGCTGTTAAGGCTAAAAGAAATGCTCAATAACACTACAGTTGGATATACCAGAGCTACTTCAAATTCAGGTTTAGCTTAACTGGTGAATGTCAACAGTGCCGAACAGCTGTTTACAATTCTACCGAAGCTGAAAATGCGGCATTATTTCCACTAATGCTTAACTGCAGCTGTCAGATACAAAGTACGTGGTGACAGGAATGTAGAGCATCATCAGTGTCCTTGAATTTAAGTAACACAGTGTTTACATTTGCTACAAAAGGCACAGACATCAAATTAATAAAAAAAACCTGGTGTCCTATAAAATGACAAGGATGCTGCAAATTAAATATAAAAAAATTAAGTCGTAGACACAATACAAAGAAGGTAATCGTGTTTGTCCAATTGGGCTACCGTTGTTTTCCACAGAGCATTTACCTAACTTACCGCCTCCTGCCACTCAAAAGGATTTTTCTCTTGTCCCTTTTTCTCTTTCATTCTTTCATTCAATCTCTGTGTCGAGTTTTTTTTTTTTCTTTCCCACCCTTGATTCTCAGATGGTTGGATCTGATTTGCATGCATTTGCATAATGAAAGTCATTTGCATGCTCAGGGGCAGACTGTACCATGAGAACAGACATGAAAAGGTGTGTGTGTGTGTGTGTGTGTGTGTGTGTGTGTGTGTGTGTGTGTGTGTGTGCGCGTGCGTGTGTGTATACATGCGTTCACGTGTGTGCATGGCTCGCATTCTATGCTTCCGTGAGCTATACATAAACCACATTCTTAAAATTTTCTCTCTCGCCCTCTGATTTTCCCGTTTTCTGTGCAGGCTACCACCATCACCACACCACTGAAGGAAAGCTGGCAAAAGGAGACTGAAAAACAGAGAAGAAGGAGGAGGAGGGGTTGCTGTTGATTCTGCCCTCCCTCTCTCCTCGCCCTCCTCTGCATCGCCTCTTCCCTCCTCCTCCTCCTCCCTTCCTCCTCCGCTCCATCCTCAGCAGACTGCCCCTTTTTCCTGTACAGCGAGACGCAGCCCGCGCCACCATCTTAGAGCAACGCTGGCATGAAATGGAAGTGGGAAGACCAGTCAGTGCAGGTAACACACCAAACCCACTGCGCCCGCCATGCTGCATCTTTCCACCGGCGCCACCCCGACCCCCCATCCTCTCCTCTTCCACCTTCCTGTGCCCTCGCTCCTCCTCTCCAGCGGGCTACAGCCTCCGTTTTAATCACCTCGGATATTTTTGTTAATTGCAAGATTCACAAGATGCGCCGATGGGTGGAGGGGAGGGTGAGTTGATGTGGGCGGAGCGTGTTTTGTATGTGTGTTCACATTAAATCACTCTGCTCTCAATGCCTCTCTCAGGAGGCTTTCAGTGGGCATCTGTCCTCTGAAGCGCCATGTTTTCTTTCCCGTTTGGGAATTCTCATGCCATCCTCACATGCGTGCCCCGACATGGCGGCGGCTGCCATTTTGGAGATATGATGCAAGCCGTGCCTTCTGGACAATACAGAGGCACAATCCAGAACTCCATATAGTTGCTCACAGACATAAAACAGCGTGTGTTACTGAATGACGTCTGCCGTAACAGAGTTACGACTTTTAGATTCATTCTAAAAATCTTTTTTCTTCACACACATCGCACATCTGTCGAGTGGAAAGTGATGATATCCATGAACCACCATTCAAAATCTCATACAGGGACACTGCAGCATATAACAAAACCAACACAAAGCAGGAGAGAGATGGACAGAGAGAGAGAGAAATAATGGAGAAGAGATGGTGAAGAAGTGAGAAAGCGGGACCTTGATAGGCAGAGTCTCAGTACTGGAAAGCCTCTCTTTGTGCGAGTGGCCAGTGTTGGAGGGCAGTCGGTGCTTAGACAAGTCGAGTATTGTTCTCCCTGAGCGAGCTCGTTATAGTGCAGCATTATTCCAACCGGGGAGCTCCGAACTTTGAAAACCGCTTAAACCAAAACACCAATTAGCATCGGCTGGGCTTGATTAAGTAAGGCAGCCGGTAAACAATGCACGGCATTGTCCTCGCAACAGAGAGACCTCCTTTTGTTTGTGTCTGTGGTGTGGAGGTCAGAGAGACAATGCTAATGCTAACTTACAGTAGGATGCCAGTCCACAGGCCTAGCAGCGGGACTGCTGATACCCCCTGTTGGGTCAAGGTGAGAGAAGAAAAGGGGACTGTTGCTAAACACTAGAAAGCATCTTGTCAGCAAAGGCCCAAGGTGACTTTCCCGTTCTATAAGAGAAAGTTAGGAGCGAAAATTTTAAATTCTTTGGCCAAAGTTTGAAAAAGAGTTTAATTTCACATACACCATTTTTCATAAAATTTCCAAACTCATTTCCAATATTTACACAGACTATCCCTAAGTGATACCAGTTCTCAAATTAGGTCATGCCAAGCTTTTTCTACATTTACATTTTTGACGATGCAGCCTTTAAAAGCGGAGGCGTCGCTTGGCTTTCCTGAGAAGTACTGTGGTAACTGTGTCAAACCCAAAGCGCACTAATCACGGCCAGGCCTCCATAAACAGGTGGTAGATTGAGCAAAGGGGGCCGGGGCCATTCTCAATTTACTGTGTAAATTATGCAGAGCCCAAAACAATGCAAACAGTAGACAGTGGAGTGGCTGGCGTTGGCTAATGAGATGATGAGAAGCCTGGGAGGGCTGGGAGCTAGTCGAGGTGAGGGGGTGGGCACGGTCGGCAGCTTGTGTCTGGATCTGTGTATTCGTGTGTGTGTGTGTGTGTGTGTGTGTCTCCGTGCGAGTGTGTGTGAGGGTCTAGAGGAGCTTTGGCAGGGGAGCAGACACTGTCCCGTCTGCACAAACCCCATCGTCAGCACCCCTCCTGCCCAGACTGAGTGCTGCAGAGGGAGGGGAGGGTTAGCAGGCAGCTGGGGCACCCTGCCCCCATTGCTCCAGCAAGAGCACCAGCCTTGGGAACCTCTGTGGCAGGGGTCCCCCCCAACACTGGCACGTAGGGGCCCCCCAAAAGTCTGGCTGCAAACCCCCATTACCACCAACCCCTCCTCCCTCTTGTCTCCCCAACCACCACCACCCCACCCACCCTAATGTGAGGCTGGGGGCCTGGGAAGGACTTCAAGTTCATGGCCAGACCTCCTATTGAGCTGACAGCCTGACTGTTTGCTCAATTCGGCTCCCTATTCAGAGCCGTGCTGGAGGGGGGAGTGTTGAGAAAGAGCTGGAGGATGGGGAGGGGGGGTGTTGCTAGATGGGACACCGTAGCACTGTGATAGCTATTCATTCAGCAGGGGGAGACAAGTAAAGAGCGAGGGAGAGAGTGAAGAGGGATGGGGGGTTCGAGTCGGGGTGCATAAATAAAAAGTGAGGAATCCGGGCTCAAAGTTTGCTTTGAGCGGTGTGCGCCTCTCTCACACTCTTTTAGACTCTTAATTACCGGCGCCTTCCACTTTTCTCTCTCCCTTTCTCTAACTACACCCCCCCCCCCTCATCCTCATCCCCATCACACACACTCATGAACACACACACAAAATCGCAATCATTCTCATCATCCCCTCTATCCCCTGGTTTTATTAGGCCACATGCTGGGGCTGTAAATTTACCATTAACAAGCTTATTCACTGTAGTCCTCTCAACAAAACAAGACCATGATGCCAATAACTCAAAGCGACACCAATACCCGAAACTGCCTTTTATACCACCACCCTCCGCTGTTAGCCACTCCCCCCCCTTCCCCCCTTCCTCCCTAGCCGAGTGCACCCGCTCTGAACAGCGGCGTAAATGCCAAGTCTAACATGATGCTTGCTAATAGCTCAGGCGATGCTAATTAGCACGATGGTTGTTGATTTCTGCCACTAAGCTGGACGGCTGCATTATCGGTTCACTCCGCACTCAGTGACCCGCTGTAATATTTTAAGTTGCTTGTCTGAGCTGCTTGAAAATGTAACAAAAAAAGGGGGTTTGGTGGGCTTCTGAAGTCCAACTCAGCCTAGATTAGGGTGTGTCACATGCTTCCTCTTTGTATTAGCAGTTCGTAGCGTACCAGGCTCCTGTTAAGGCCTTTCAACTTCAGCCCCAATCCCTTCAGCTGGTACATGGAGCTGCGCTTACCTCGGCCAGATTTAGGACACACAAGAAATGCCCCCATAAGTTATTTTTCATGTGTGAAGAACAATGGGGACAGGCCTTCGTTTGATACACCTAAATTATCATTCACAGTCCACTGTCTCAAATAATTGTTTTGACATTCACATGATTGGCCCTCATCTTTCTCTTTGCAGGTGAATGCAGGGGGATCCTAACCGGCCCGAGCACACAACGGAGGGATAGCAGATTCCTCCTTCAGCGGCCGTTTGCCGCCTTTAAGGCTGGACTACACAGGGACGCCGCCGCTGATGTCTGCACGGGACTCAGTGGCGATTACTGCTGTGACTTTGGAACATCGGCGCGCTGTTTGTACCTCTTCGATGCTGCTGCGTGATCCATTATTTGACCCAACGGTCAAGTGGGACTGGTTGCGAATGCCTTGTGGTGTTCTAGCAGAGCAAACATCATGTTGGACTGTCGAAGACAGACAGACTCAGACAGAAGATCAGCAGCTTGAGGTGTGGACGAACTGGTCCCTGATTGTGACTCTTGTCTTTATACTTTTGAGGGTGTGGCGCTCAATTTTGTAATTATTATTCCTATATATATATATATCTACCTGTAAACAGTATTACTTAGACATGAAGCAATATAATGTGTCTTCAACTAACATAGGCCATATTTGATGAGTTGTAGCCCATGTTTAGTTCCATTTCTGTTTTGTTATAGTTGCTAGGACTCAAAGACACGTGAATGTGAGACCCACGGCAGCAGTGAATAATACTGCACTGCGATTGGACAGCTCCGTGTGTCGGCTGACACAATGGCGAAGGAGTGAGCTGTCGTCTTTATACTCTATGCAACTGTTTTATCTTTTTTTGTTCATTTTTCCCAGTTGGGCAGAGCCCCTTTTATCCTTACTCTGGATTTTTACATTTTTTTTGGGCTAGCAGTTTATTGACATTCCTTCAGACATCATCAAGAGAAATGGTTTCTGAGGAGCCAACATTGCCGTTGTTAATGTACTGACACAGATAATACATGTGTGTGTGTGTGTGTGTGTGTGTGTGTGTGTGTGTGTGTGTGTGTGTGTGTGTGGGTGATGGATGACAGAATACAGCTCAGTTTCATATGTATTGAATCTCATATTTGCAGCCTTAACAGACTTTGATTTGCAGCCATGAGCCACAGTCTGAGTAAATGTGGACTCGCACGTTTAATATTCCTGATGGCAGAAGTGTGTTTGATCAGCAGGAAGTAGCAGAGCAGGGCTCATGGCTGCGTGTATACAGAACACGCCACGCTATTAAAACCTTCCCAGCAGGCTTTGAGACACAGCAGTTTGGTTCATAGCAGTTACCTGCTTGGCTGTAATGATACATCTTTGGGTGAGACATGACAAATACATTGGCTTCAAACACTGCCTTAATTTCCTGTCCTTGACATTAACACACACACACACACACACACACACACACCCAAATGCAATAAAGCAAGTACTATCGCAGCCTAATTCATTCTATATTAATTTTCGGGAAGTGGCAAATTTTTTATTACGATTGATAATCTATGCAAATCTTTTAAATATTACTTTAAACAATCTATGTCTATGCAGTGCTTTTGCAATTGATTCAAGAGAGACTATCTTGGCCTAATTTAGAAAATGTATTCTTTTGATAATCATGCACATCCCAGTGCTCAAGACAATTACTTATCTGCCTGGATAAGCTTGAAATTATGTTTTTAATCTTTAGCAAAAAAAAGTCACTCTTCTGATATCAGTCCAGAGGCATGAAAACCACGAGTTGTGGTCTAAAATAATTAAATCGGTTGCACTAATTCTCTTTTTCCCTTAAACGCAGATCAAACATATCTATTCAGCTATGCCTTCGTGTAGCTTATTGTTTTATATAATCAGCAATGTTTGTGTTATGCAATCTAATCGCTGTGATTGAGTGTTCACCACATGTGCCTTTGTATGGAAAACTGTTGGAATAGTAATAAAGGTTTACATTGAAAACAACTGAAAAATGGCTGTTGTGCATGTTTTGTGAATTTGATCTGCATTTTATCAGGTGGCAGGGTCATTTAGTGATGGCTGAACATTCTGCAGCTGTGTGCGCTGCTGGAGTGTCCTTGAGCAAAGCACTGAGCTCGGTCACGATTCTGAAAATCAATAGAGATGTAACTCAGTGAAATATATAAATGTAAATAACTGTCTATCAAGGGAGACAGGACGTAGATTGAAGCTTACAAAAAGACAAAAAATCTAAATATACCAGAGAGCTGGCAGCTTTTCTTAAATGTTTGGCTTTTTTTTTTGCGTCAGTCACGTCTACAGAGAAATCAACTACATTTCAGTTCCAACAAAATGTTACAGCCAAATGAAAAGATTATCACAATTCCCCTGAGATCAAACAAATTTCAAAACACCATCAGGGATGTGGGTTTATTTTCTGTAGTGTTTGGCATCAAGCTAGACAGCAGAGCTCTGTCCTCTTTTAACGTAGAATGAATCAGTGCGAGGATGCCCTCTGTAGTAGCCAGCGAAAAACCCAACCTCATTGTTGCCGTATAGATGAGTAATAAGCCAACATGCATCTACACACATGCAATTAACCTACTGTTATTCCAAATTTGAGTAAAACAGATCATCACAATCCAGGATGAGAGTGTTACTGTGTCTTTGTGTGCAGCACCGGTGTTGTGCAGAACATTTCCCCTGCATGATTTGCTGTCTGACACCACATATGGCAAATGCGCCAACACCGACATATGGGCCCCTCACAATTCATTAGCATTGTCATGTAAAAGAGGGTAATCCCAGTGTAAAACAAATGAAATGTAACCCTTTACAGTACAGGTTGATCACGCAGCTCTTTTCATTCATTCCCCTCTTTTATGAAGTCTTGTGTAATTCAATGAAAGAGGTTTTTAACGCAGCTCCAACGCACCCCCATGGGTGTCTGCATCCTCGGTGCGTGGCAGCAGAGGCTTTACAAGCCGTTCTACTCTTGTTTACAGCCGTGCTGTGTGTTGAAATGAGCCGTAGTACACATAAACAGCATCTCCATGCAAATATTACAGTGCCCTTATTAACCAGGGCAGGCAGCAATTACATTATGTCCCTGGCGTTAACATCCAGAGAGCGAGCGCCGTTCCTCTGTGACAACTCCCCTCGCCCTCAGTGTTTCTTGGCGGCGTTATGGCCCTCATAATCTGATTCACAGTTTTTGTCATGCTGCCAAGAGGCAAGTTGCATTAGCCAAGCACTATAGGCCTTAATGAACTGAGTGTCAATGTTAAGCACACTAGAGCAAGCTGGAGTGACGGCGTACAACCAGGCTGTCATTTGCAGCCATGTTGGATCACAGTCTAAGTTATAGTCGTTCACGCTCAAAGGTTTGTCTCTGAGACAAAAACAAAAACCTCCACCCTTCGTTATGCTTGATGTGTTGAGCATCCTAAAGGACAGAGAGTCGTGTGTGTGAGGAGCTGCTCTTATCGAGTTAGGGTGTGGCTTCCTTTTGACATAAAGCACAAAATGGCTGTTCGCTGCATCCCATCCTGAGACTGAGGGGATCAGATTCCAAGATGGCGCCGCAGTGACATTAATGTAGCTTGGATCGGTTTAGATCATTAAAAAAATGGAAAGGCCGCACCTCCAGCCACAACGATTTGATGGACAAGTACACAAGGGCCGGTGGCAGGGGGCGTCCAAAGTGGGAAATGGCGGGTTTTGGTGCACGTCCAAGGTCTCGGGTGCTGCTCCTTTCACAAGTTCCTCAGAATTGTCATTGGTATGCAGGAATGCGCCCCTAGTAGGCCATTCTGTGTGATTTTGGAGGGAAACGTGTTTGCAACCGGTCGCTAGGACAGAGGATGTGTGTGTCTTTGGATCCGACCGTGGTCATTGCCAAGAAAAAGTGGGCGTCCGTCCAGATCTGTCCACCTTTGTGAGCTGCCTCCCAGTGGTGCGGGCCGGCAAATCTGTTCAGCGAGCAAAGACAAAATGGCTTCAAATGCTTTGAAGGGTACTTCGTCCTGTGAAATGCTCCAATTATAATAAATATAGACGATGAATAAAGAGGTGCGTGTGCATTTGTTGAGCTGGAGTGTCTTCGCTAAAGATTATCAAGGCTTTCCAGATACTCGATCCTCACCGTGATGGCATTGATGGAGTACCGCATTTTGGCCCCTTGGACACAAAATGCACCACTGAGTAAAGTTGTGTTTTTTTGTTGTTCAGCCATCATTTTGAATCTGTTCACTCATTACATGATTATTCATGTTAGATTAGGTAATGTGTGTATGAAACTACTTTATTTTTGCTAAAATCTCACTATTATCTTTTGGTAAAGGTGCTGAAAGAAAAGAAAAAATAAAAGTCTGTCAGTTTGGTGTATTCAGGTGTCATCCTACAGGTTGGGAAAATGAAGAAAAATATTCTCTGTACAAACCCAGAATAATTGTCAAAACCTTTGCATACTCTGAATGCAAGATGTTTGGGTTTGATGTTCTGACTGACAGTCACCTGTGATTGGTGTACTTGCTCCATCTTGTCGCTGCTGGAAATCTTACAAGGGCCCAAGCAAAGAGATTTGCAGTAATTTGCATAATATTTGTTTTTAAAGAATGAATGTTTTTTTTACATGTAACAATTTCAACCAGTGGCAGAAAGTAACAATTCAAGTCAACATAGGTTTACAGTTTTGAGGTACCTGTATTTCCATTTTATGCAACTTAATACTTCTTATTTATGATTTTTATGATTTCACATAAAAAGTATATCATCCTTTTCTAAAATATGATGCAATGTTATAGTTTAAACTACGATACAAAGGTAAATTAAGGTTTTTACACAGTAATGCATGAAATAATGTAACATATACATTAGTATAACATATAATAGGTTCCATAATCAGTACGATTTACCTAGTATTGTTGCTGATTATATTTATATACTTTTACTAAAGACTTGATGTAAAAATGTTGAATGCAGGACTTTTACCTGGTAATGGTAGTGGTGTGGTACCTTTAACCAAGTATAGGCTCTCAATACTTCCCTCACCACAGGTTCCAACAGCATTTAAATCACTGTATTCCCACATGTAGTCAGGTCCTGCTTTGCATTAAAACATAGTCATTGAAATGCTGTTGAAGCAATGAGTATATGTTACAAGGATGTATAAAACACCAATATTTATAGAGGTATTGCTTACTGAAGACGTGACAATGACATGAAAACCTGACAAAATATGTGTAAATATTCATGTAGGTGGAGAGCTAAATCTACACAAGAAAAGTCTGGTGTTTCCTTGCTGCAAGTATTTGATAATTACCCTTTTGTCAGGGGAAAAACCTCACAGAAACTTCATTTAAAATATATATTTTAGCTTGACAACCTTGCACTTTTTAGTTTATCTAATAACAGAAGTGTCGGCAGCGCTTGAGGAGCTTCAGTCCCTCAACTTAAGTTAAAATATCACCTAAATGAGACAGACAAGGTTTTTACCTGACAATGACGATAGTTCAAATTCAAGTTTTGTCATTTGCACAGGTAGCATGTAGCTTTGACTATAAGCTTAAAATCCACTCACACCCTGAACCAATTTCTTGGAGCTTATGTATTTATATAATGAAGGAGAAATACTCGGAGAGGTTAGCAAAACTTGCAGCTCAGGCCTGATGAGTTCGACGTCCGGATCACTGAGGATGCTTTTCTTGAAGGCGAGAGAGCCCTGTTGTGGAATGTCAAGTAGTTTGGCCGGGGCGGGTGACTGAAGCGGGAAGTGATTTGACTAATGTTTTCCCTTTCATAGCACTCCTCTCCACCACGTCCCCCTCCGTTCTCCCCAACCGCCAAAACCTCCCCAGAAAACTTTACGGTGATGTCATTCATATGCAAAACAGGCGTGCTTTCAGCGGGTGAATGTGTGTGCATGCGTCTGTGAGTGAGTCTGTATGCGTGTGGCTGTGAGTGTGTGTGTGTGTGTGTGTGTGTGTGCATGTGTTGCTTGAGTGGCTGATTCCATTACTTGAAGGACCATTACACTTGCCTGTCAACAGCCAAAAGACCTGAGAAAAATTAGCAGATTAAATCACTCGGCTCCTCTCCTCCTCCTCTTCTTCCTCCTCTCCCCTGCAAGCATCCAGGCTGTTGTGTCGCACCACGGAGGTGTTGTGACAAAATCAAAAATGTAATGCATCTCCTTTGAACGTCGCATCAGTATTTGATCAGTGACAGGTCCTAATTTTGGCGACAAATCTCTCAAAAATGACAAAAAATTAAAAACAATGATAATGGTGCAAGACACAATCAGGGCAGGACTCATGGGAAAGCGAGTCGCTAGGAGGCAAAATCCTATAAACAGGGGCAAACAGGGAGACTGAAGTTAAATGTGGTTTTACAGTCTTGTAGAATCAAATTACACAGCAGCGCTGGGGTTCCAGTACATGTTTATTGAGGCAGTTGGGTGAAAGTTCAAATGTCGGAGAGGGTTCAACGGATTTACGATCAGTTTGTGTTTTTTCAGTGAATTCCTAAAAAACATACACTCTGTGACGGTTTTAGCCACCGGAGTCTTGCCAGGAACATAAATCCCGATCATAATCCTGCAACGGACTCCAGAGGTTGCACCTAGTTTTACTTATCATTGGATGACAGGAATCCAGCAGAGCTTCTCCCTTCAAAAACAAAAGAATAAATCCCAGATCCCAGAATGTGGGAATGAAGCCCCCTCGGGTCAGATTAGCATTCTGGGAAAACAAAATTCCCCACTGGGGCGTTTGCTACAGACCAGATGGGTGTACCCCAAAAATCAGCCACACAGGGGGAAGTGGCTGAAGAAGAAGAAGAAGAGGCTTGGCCCCCGGGGAAGATGGAGGAGAGAGTGTTGATGGAAGAGGGGGAGGTTGTGAGAGAGGGGGCCGCGAAGAGTTAATGCCGACAGCTCAACAAAGGCCGCCACCGCCGCCGAGGGCAGAGAGGAGCACGGGAAAAGAGCTAAGGTCAAGGGGACCTCAGGGGG